AGCTTAAGATTGTAAGTGCAACATAATTTTTTGGCTATTAAAGTATTTGAATCAAATGGCCAACTATGTACAATAATGTGCCAATGATGGAATCAGATCCAAATATTGATATGCTTGAATTATTTTTAAACAAAAAGGATAATTGCAGTCGAACTTTTTGAAATCCGAATAAAACGGAGGTGATATTCTAATAGGAGTCTAAAAGGGTGTCAAGAGGCCTTCTTAGAGTAGCAAATCAAGCTAGCAAAGAAAAAAAAAACATTGATAGCAAAGTAAGAGAGACAAAAGAGGCTAAAGTGACCTGGTCAAATTCATTCACAAAGATTATGACAACTTGCTATTGTGCAGGAATTTGAACATATAAATAAGCATTTAGACATCCCCACAAGCTAAATGCTAGGCTCATGTAAAGTTTTCTTAATGTCTTTTATTTTGTAACAATTTTTTTAATAACTAATTTTGGTTATTGGTATTTTGCTTCAATAAAGCATAATTTTCAAAAAAAAAATCTTCACTTGTCATTTTATGTCATGAGCTATTAACGTAACATGTTAATATGTTATAATAGATGGTGACATTGATGGGATAAGCCTTATAGCCAATTAGGATTGGTTAAAGCTTGATTCCAATCATGCAATAATATCATTAACGTTGAATGATTAAAGATTTCTTTCATCAATAAGACATTAATTAAAATGGGTTATAAGTCTACTTGGATGAAGTCTATGAGATTAATATGTCTTGTAAGGGAACTATAATGAGTTGCAGTTATGAGATCTCTATGCATCAAAGCATAATTTTTAAATGTTCCTACTCAATGTATCATCAAGACTGGACATCAATGATGCCTAGAGACTAGTACATTCTATGTTTCTTACTTAAGAAGTAAGCAACTGATCTCATAGATTGAAGTATAAAGATACTTAAAACTAGAATATAAGTGCTTGCCTAAGAGAGTTAATTCACTGAACATGACCCATCATGTGAAGTATATTTTGTAGTTAACTCAAGTGTCTATGCAATACTTCTCATATGTCAATTCTGTAAATACTTTCAAGAGTTGAGATATGAGGTTGTCTTATGTGTGGAGTGCTATGCTTTGATTTCATCGCTACGAGTGGCCAAACAAGGACACCAAAACAGGATGCTTTTGGGTATAGCATGAAACATGTGAAGATAAATCAGTGGGAAAGAAAGGAATCATCATCCCAAGTAATTTAGAGGACATATCTTAATAATTCTTACTTGATATTGACTTTTTGAAGTCCTTGGCCAAGGCAACTTGGAGATTATGAAAAAAAAAATTCATAAGTCTCTATAAAACTAATTATCTAACATTCAACAATAAATATGGAGATCAATAAGAGTAGACACTACACCATGCTCTTATCATTTTCTATATATATGATGAGAGAATGAATTATACTCATAGACTATACATTAAAAGCTTGTCAAAGAACCTTTTGACTCTCCTAACAATTGGGTGATCATAATGTATTGCAACATGCCAATCTTAGTCTATAAAATTGAATTAATTAATTTAATAAAAATTATAATTCAATTCCACTGCCTACATATTTGGAACCTAATGGATCACACATAATAAGTTGCATAATGAATTAAATTGGGAGTGTGATGATTAAAGTTGGACTTAAATCATATCCTAGGCTTTAACTTCTAAAGACTTAATTAAAATAGTTTAATTAAGTATAAGGCTAATATTATATTGATAGTTTCAATCATGGTTTAAAGAATATTTCTTAGAATGCTTGCTAAAGAAATATTTGATGGTAATTAAGAATGCTTATTGATGATATTTTTTTTTCCTTGAGTTTCTATTTTCATATATGAATTAGAAAATTATTGATAATACCTAATGATTATTGAGAATGATGCTTGATAACTACTGACACCTTAGACATGCCTAGGAAGTATTTTACAAATATTTCTTGAAAATATGAGTATTTGATGCATATATTGAGCATCTATTTAAATTCTCATACGTATCTAGTTCCATATATACTTGAGTATTAGATGTACTTGTTGAATATTTATTTAAATACTCATTTATTTTAAGCTCATAATTTCCCCCCTAACAATTGGTGTTTTAACAATTGGAAGCTTAGTAGTTTCATAATTTGTCTAAAAAGGGTGTGTTTTAAATTAACCTTGTTTTAGAACTCATTTTTTGATAATGACAAAATGAGGGAGAAATAACAAAGAATTGTTGTGTTTGATGCAAAGAACTACTGTACTTCAATGTTTAATTTTCTTGGAATGTAGCTTATAATTGTCTTGAAATACTTATGGTACATATGCTCATAAAATTTACTTGCATCACACTCATTAAGAGGGAGGTTGGAATATATTTTTTAATGATGACAAAAAAAAGGGAGAAGATAGAAGAAGAGATGGGATACAATGTTATGTGTTTGTTTTTGAACAAATTGCTAGATTGGTCATGTTATATCTATTGTTGATGATTGTTCATAAACATCTGCACATCAATGATGCCTAGAAACTAGTACATTCTATGTTCCTTACTTGAGAAGTAAACAACCGATCTCATAGGTTGAAGTATAGAGATACTTGAAACTAGAATGTAGGTGCTTGCTTAGGAGAGCAAGTTCACTAAACATAACCTGCCGTGAGAAGTGCATTTGGTATTTCACTCAAGTTTCTATGCAATACTTCTCATGTGTCAATTGTGTAAATACTCCCTAGACTTGAGACACTAGGTTGTCTTATGTGTGGAGTGCTATGCTTTGATTTTATCCCTACGGGTGCTTAACTAAGGATGCCAAAAACGGGATACTTTTGACTATAGCATGAAGCATGTAAAGGCAAATGAGTAGTCAAGATAGGAATCATCACCTCAAGTGATGCAAGGGGACATATCCTAACTGTTCTTGGTTGATATTAGCTTATTGAAGTCTTTAGCCAAGACGACTTGAAGATTATGAAAGGAGTTTCATAAGTCTTTATAAAGCTGATGATCAAACTTTAAGAATGAATATGGAAATCAATAAGAGTAGACATTGCACCATGCTCTTATCATCTCTGGGATATATGATGAAGGAATGGATTACACTGAAAGGCTGATCACTAAAAGGTTGAGTCAAACCATCTTGACTCTTCTAACATTTGTGTGACCATGACGAATTTCTAGATCCCAATCCCGGTCTATGAACTTTAGCTAGTTAACTTAATTAATGATAAATTTAAAGTAGTTTAAATTTATCTAATTCTAAGGTTAACTTAAGAATTGTATGTTGAGCTCATTGTCAACATGTTAGAAGCCTAATGGGTCACACACCTAAAATAAATGTTGAAAATAAAATGCAAGAGGTGATTAAGTTAGACTTAATCAAATTAGAAGTTATAAGCATCTCAAGCACTTGATTAAAATTGTTTAATTAAGTTGTGCTTAATTCATTAAATTATTTAATTAAGTCATTGAGCCTAATTAATTAA